GGAATGATTTAAAGGCCAAAGAGAACAGCATTAATAAAAGGGGAGAGGAATGGATAGGAGGCATTTGTGTATTATGTAATCACATATATCCTCTAGAGATTAAAATGCATAATTATATGCATACACATTTTATTTAATGGCCACACGCGCAATATAAATATGGTTACTCACATCTTAATTTGGACATATGTAATATATTCTATGGCATGGATTAGACAGCTGCCTGAATTTGACTCACCATCCACAACCCAAACAGAAAGAAATGTAAGACATTTTTACAGTAAGATGTAGTTTCAGTAGTAGTTTGCTACTCAGAATGGATGCCTCTGTGGCCCACCCATCCCTATGACACTAACAGGATAAAAGAGTACTTCACATCTTTTCAGAGACAAGGCAGATTAGGCAAGTAGCTGCTTCATGCCTGTGTTTATGTGTTATAACCCAAAACTAGTGACTTCTAGTCACTCAGAAGGGAAATCTTCACTCGCAAGAATGAACGACAGTTGAAACAAAGGTATAGTGGAGGGACCACAGAAAAACAAAGGGGTAGTAGCATGAAGCAGATCATGAGCAGATCATGCCTTCAATCTAGTCTGCAACTAGCAGCATACAAGGTACACACCTCTGTTAAGTAGCTTATAATGCAGGGGTTTAAAAGCGTTCATTCACTTACCTTTCTCACAACAACATGTTCACTGGGATTGATGATTAAGGCTTCCCTTTCCTCCTCTGCTTCCATCTGAACAGTGTATTCACTAGGTACAGCCCTGTAACTGCTTACTTCGAATCTAAAATAAAGGGAGACAGTGGAGTACTCAATTACCTCCCTCTTTTAAAGTATGGAATTCACATAAGAAACAATGTTTTGTATACTTGAATTACTGGGGGAAGGTCCTCACAAAAAAGCAGTAAGACTTAGTTTACGTTGCCAGGTCTTTTTCAGCCTCTACAATCTACTTTCAAGGTGGTTTATTTATCTAGAATAACCCCTATCACCATTAGCTGACTGAACAGTGATTTTCAGGTAATGGCAGGGATGGACACTTTACATAGGCAAGCGGATAATGATATTTTGACTCTAAATAGTGGTTGTGCTAATGCTGTTGTATGTGAGGTTCTTCTCTAACTTGGAAGAAAAGAAATGCCCCTGACTACTGAGTCCAACAGCTGAGGCTACAGAGTTAAGTCTAACTTTTTAACACAGTTTTCAATGCTTCGGGTACCATGGACTCACAAATAGGTTCTATAACTTGTTTGTTCTATTACTTGCTCAGAAATCTAAAACCTATAGGAAAACGTACCACTAATCTCACTAAAAATAAAAGGCAAACAAAAAAATCTGACTCTTCTTTTTCCAGTTTTGTAGTACACTTTGCATTTACTCCAGACATAGTGTAAATGAAAACCTCACCATGCATTCATCCAAGGGGAAGCAGAGGTGAAAGATGGCTTTGGCTCTCTGAACGTGCAAGTTATTTCATACCCACATAAGGGTTTAAGGCAGCAATCTAACTGTCACACACTCAAAAGTATAAGAAAAGAAGAAAATACATTTTACAGACACTCTTCTTCCAGAAGGAAAAACCCCATGTTTTACAAGCAGGAGTATTTTACCTGTTACTTTGCTCCTCAGAGAGCCCAAGAGCTTCTTCTGCAGCTTCTCTCCTCCTCTTCTCTTCTGACAGTGTTTCCGTCAGCTGCGTGAGTGCCTGCTGCACTGAATCATATTGCTGCTCAGTCTCTGCAAGCCTGTGACAAAATGAAACTTGAAATCAGTATTTCACATACTTAAAGAACTTTCTTATTCTTTTTTATTAAAGAATGTCCTTTTTTGTGATAAAGACTTAATTATAATGAGATGCTTTAGGTTAGATATTGAACTAGTCACCAATAACCGTGTATCTTTACAAAACCAAACCACAAATAGCACCAGATGATAATAACTCAAGAGTGTGACTATGATTAATTTAATCCACTGTAAATCCACTTGTTTCCCTTCTCCCCCAAAATGTCTTAGAGGGATAGAAAAGCATTACTTCTGCACTCTCAACACAGCTGTCAGGAAAACAATATTGCTGATACATGTCTCAGTCCTGACCTTTTTCTGAGTTCATTTAGCTCCATATTGTCTACTTCAACAATAACTGCAGATCTTTCCCGTGGTGCTCCAGGGGGAACTTCTGCTCTAGTTTCATCCTAGAAAATATTAAAGGGAAAAGAAAGAAGCCAGTCACCATTTTCTAGTTGTTAATAATCTTTACTTCAATTAAAGAAGCCATAAGCACCACAAAGCTGTGGAACAAACCACTCTTTGTGCCATTTAATCTTTTAATTTCTGGAGCTGCAATCTTCCAAACATGTTTTCTAACTGAAAGTTGATGAAGAATAATGCCTGTGTGTGCTGCAGGACTTGAAGGATATATGTACGCTGCACAACACAGCGAGCTCTGAAGTGGAAGAAATGCATCTACACATCCACATAATAATACAGCATTGACTGTAGTTTCATGAGTAACACAGCTATTCATTTCCAGATTTTCCTCTGATCATCTCCATATGCTCTAAGGGCTGAAGCAGCTCTGGAGACAGGCTGAGAGAGCTGGGCTTGTTCAGCCTGGAAAAAGGGCAGCTCTGGGGAGACCTCAGAGCAGCTCCCAGTGCCTAAAGGGGCTGACAAGAAAGGTGGAGAGGGGCTTTTTACAAGGGCATGTAGTGACAGAACACAAGGGGGAACGGCTTTAACCTGAAAATGGGGAGATTTAGATTAGACATTAGGAAGAAATTCTTCCCTGTGAGGGTGCTGAGGCGCTGGCACAGGGTGCCCAGAGAAGCTGTGGCTGCCCCATCCCTGGCAGTGTTCAAGGCCAGGTTGGACACAGGGGCTTGGAGCAACCTGATCTAGTGTGAGGTGTCCCTGCCCGTGGCAGGGGGTTGGACCTGGATGAGTTTTAAGATCCCTTCCAACCCAAACCACCCTATGATTATATGATCATGGACTAGCAAAAGTACTGAATCGGTACAACAAAAAGTCCTTACTTCATTTTTTAGCATGAAAACAAGAAAAGCATAAGCAGAGAGGGAAAAACCAACTAAAACCATTTCCATATACTTGGTTACCTGAACAGTGCCTTGGAAAGATGTCACTTGCATTGTCTGATACTCCCTCTCCAGTCTCGAGTAACGATTTTGCAAGTCAGTGTAACGAAGCTGGTTATCTCTTAGAGTCTGTGAAAGAGTCTTCAACTGGGCAGACAAGACAGCATTCTCTTCTGTTGACTGCACAACCTGAAAGAAATGAACATTTAAATAAATAAAAATTAGCAATGATCTCCTTCAGGAAATTACTACAGATTTGAGACCTATTGAAAACAACTGTGTACTAGTTTCAAAATTGCACTGACTTTTCAGTAAGATTTAACTAGTTATTTTATAAGCAATGGAAATAATGAAACCTGAGTATTGATTTCCTCTGTCATTAATATAGCCAAAACAAGAAGTCAGGGTTTTAAACCCCAATGCCTCCCTCCCTGTGTTTGCTATGCTATCACCACCTGGCAAAAGATTGCGTATTTAGTTGCTACTTCAGGACAACACATAGAGCCAAATAAGCCTGATAGTATAAATTATAAACATGTTCACCAGACAGTCCAGGAATGCTCAGCAGTGAGTTTTCATCTGTTTTCAAAAACAGACCATAATATGGGTCTCATTACCCCAAACACTCATCTTCCCTTGTAGGAGCTTGAGATTTCTACACCTGTTTCAAAGTTTGCTTAAAATGGTTATTTGGTTTATAAAATGTTTGGGTGAAGGAGTGAAAACAATGACAGATGAAAGGTAACATAAACCTGCTTTGCTTGAAATACCAGGGAAACACCAGACAAAGAGAGAAACACTAAGAGAACTTCCAAGAACATTTACAAACTTTTGCAAACAAAACTGAACACAAACACATTATGTGCACATGGACACACACACACTCTTACTGTCTTAACAGGCACAAAAGTGTTCATTAAGAATTTGTAAGGAAGCATATCTGAGATATATAATATTTGGTCTGAGACAGCTAAAATCTTGTTCCAGCTAAGACAAACATCTGCTTCTGTCTATAATGAAAAATCCTTTACTTAGAGCAGAAGTTCAGCAGAGCCACATCAATGTCTTCAGAATGCAGACTCAAATAAACCTCTCTGAGTCAAAGAACAAGTCAGGAAAGCCTGACAGAAAGGTAATACTGACATTCAGTTTGCAGTTTCCAGTCTGAGCCAATAGCATTGGCCAAGCATACAAGACATTGCCAATTTAGCAACGTTTCTATGTTGATACCAGCTCAAATTCACATGAACTACTCAGGATCACAACTGTTTTTCTAAGTTACCTTTGAATTCATCTGCTGGAAATGCAGATCCTTCTGGTGTATCTCCTGAAGACAACGCTGCAGTTCATTCTGGAGCTGATTCTTCTCAGCTAAGACACATTTGAGTTCCCCTGGCATATCTGCACTTCCAGCAAGGGAGACGGTTTCTAAAACCTTAAAAAGTGTCAGCAACATTAAGGGTAAATGAGGGTACAGGAGTTCTAATACACAACTCCAACACTAAATATACATTTGGACTACATAATAATTTCCTTTTCACAGGATCATTTCCTTCCCACAAGTTAATACCACATTTGCAAGAGACTTTATGTATATATATAAAACGTAATCATCTACTTAGTGTTTCCAACCTAAATACTTCAATTAAAAAAAACCAACTAAAAATTACCTTGAAAAGGCAACTCAACTTAATTTTTACTTTGCAAATAGGGAGTGGGAGGGTAACAGAAAAAGCCAGGAGAATACAAAACACCCTTCAAACTAATAATGTATGGTATTTGTGATTTGTAGGAAAACAACTATTTTGTAAATATGAATTTAAAGCTGAACGTCCTCATTGAAGAGAAAAAAATCCCACCCAACTTTATTACTGATTCACAGCTTTGGACTTCTTTATCTCCAGTAGATCAACATTTTGATATTAATGTCCAATAATGGAGGGATATGTGCAATCTCTAATACTTTATGGGATCTATTTTCTTATACAATCATGAAATAAAGACTTCTACCACATAAAATGCTCTGTAACCCAACAGCCGTTACTCTTCAAAAGATTTTACTCATGAGGTTAATCACAGAAAATGAACAGCATGTGAGACACAAACTTGTCCAACTAAATTGGCTTTAATGGATTTTCCTTTACTTAATGTCTCTATTTATCAGCTACTACACCATTTTGTTGCTGGTGGTTTGGTTTTTTTCCAACTTTTTCCTATTATATCCTGGATTTAACTAACATAAAATAGCAATATACAAGATTACCTAAGTAACTTACTAACCTTAGCAACTCAGAAACTGGCAAATAACTTACCTTACAATGTAACTACAGGAAAGTTACTCCTTTTTGACTATGAATCAGTAACCATTATTGGTTTATGACCCTCACATTTTGCTTCACAACCATTCCATTTCTTTATGAATTTTTCCATGTTTTTAATCATTAAAACACATGCCAGTTAGTTTTCTCTCTTATTTTATCAATGTATGACAAACTCATGACTTTTCTTTGTTTAGAAGAAGTTGACCAATATATCAGACTCCATTAAAAAGTGGTTTTAATAATTGCAACTCATCTGCTTGTAATAATTCCAATTTGCTGATTTCAGCCCAGGCAACACTGACATACAGGTTGTTGTATCAGCCTTCCATACTTCACTATCATATGCTCTTTTGGGAAGCAGGCTGCATATTTAACAGAATAAATTGATGGAAGTAGATTCGTGCCTCCTGCTACATTTCATTTGTTTACCTGGACTGGATAATTGCTGCCAGCAGAGATTGATTTCTTCATAATCATGTCTTGTTGTAGCTTCTGCAGTTGTGCAATCTGTTGGTCCTTCTCAGCAACTGTGATTTGACATTGATTTCGCAGAGCCTGAGACTCTGAGAGGAGGAGGTTTTTTTCCATTCTGAACATATAAGATAAAATATTATATGTTAAATGATGATATACATATAAGACAATGAAAAGGATAAAGCTGTACTTACTGTTATTTCTGTAATAAATAATGCTATCTTTGAACAGTTATATGCAAATATGGAGCACTATATGAAGATTCTCAATACATACTTCAGTTTAAAGAGATCTGCTGAAAAAAAGGTCAGAAAATAAAGGCTGGAAAGTGATAACATCACATTTTCTTTGTTGGCTTGGAGACAAGAGAAGTTCATTGGCTGTAAAGACACTAACATCTGTTAATGCAAAAAATACTTCAGCTTCTTAAGGAATAAGGTTGTGCAGCAAAGCAGCTCTAGGTCACAGCTGTGTGGAGTGCTGCCCAAGGCAGCCAGTCACCCCTATTGCAAGCACACAAGTTTGAAAAGGAATACCCCCTCGACTCAGAACACTGAAACAAACAAACATGCCACATCTCCAGAAACTGCTCTCACACACAGGCAATATCTCAAAGGGCATAAAAGTAATTTAAATCCTTGTGTATTCAACTTAAGACAAGTTTGGGGATAAAAATGGAAAAAAACTATTAATGCTGTTCACTGGTTAAGTCTAGATGTTAGAATGAGGTTTGAATGTTTCATGCTAACTTGCTCACACTTGCAAAGGTAAATCTGGGGCTGGATGTTTGATCTACACCTCCACCCCTAAAAGGTTCTAGTATAAAACAGGCATTATCTTACACAGACTTTAATTAGAGATTAAGAAATTTCACCACAGCCACTAAAATGCACTAAGGTACTAGAATACTGGCCTCAAATTCAAACAATATTATCTTCATTGATCTGATCATAGCACGCTTTCACACTTCAATCACCTGTACAACTTTAAAAGCTTGAGTAAGAACAGAACTCTAAGCCTCCACTGAGTGCCACTTAAAAATGCCTACTGCCTTCTCTGAAGCATCCCTTACAAGGCATTCACAGAATTAAGCCCAAGGTGTCACATTATTTGTCACAGATGATGCAAGAATAGTGCTGAGTCTACAAAAATAATGCTCAAATGTGAAATTAATACTCACAGAATTAAGCCCAAGGTGTCACATTATTAGTCACAGATGACGCAAGAATAGTGCTGAGTCTACAAAAATAACGCTCAAATGTGAAATTAATATCATTTTCAATATGTAGTTGGGACAAATATGCACTACCTCAGACATGTTTTAAAATAAAGAAATCTGGGGGAAGAAATGTTCAGCCATATCAATTGTTACTTTAAGAAGAGACTATGACACCAAGCATTGAAATAAGATTCATAAACTATAGTACTATGTCACCAACAGAACAAAAACCATTCAGTTAAGACTGTTTGAAACTTGACATAAACCAGAGGACTATTACATAAAGATACGAGGATAATCACCAACAGACAACCCTGTGGAAATGGAATTCGGCGATTTCACACGTTACAGAAATATTTTTATCCTACATTCTGCTAAAATATACATAATTTTGAGTTTGTGTCAGTTTTATGTCAGGTTGTGAAGTCACTGAAGAATTCTAAACAAGAACCACACATACTATTTAACATTTATACCTTAATCCAGCAAGCTCATTCTGGTATGATGCAATCTCTCTCTCAGTTTCTGCTTGGAAGGCTTTTGTCTGATGCAATGCCTTCTCCAAATCATCAACTTTGGTCTTCAGTTTTGATATTTCAACAGCTGCAAGGCTGGCTCCTTCTTTAGCCTATGTTTAATAAACGCGGTTAGTGAATGGGAATGAGAACGGTCTGGTTGAAGTTTTAGTAGTGCTAGAATTCCAATTACAGAATAAAATAGTGCTAGAATCCCAATTACAGAATAATGTATATTCACTGTTTGCTCCTGTTTAACAGGATAATTACCTGAACTCCCAAAATTGTAAGCATGCCTTTCTAATCACACACTGTTTTCTTAGCACTCACATAAAGTTGAACTTCAGAAACTATAATGTCTCCAAGCAGTCTCTTCATAAAGAAATAAATTACGAAATGAAAACTTACCAACACTCCCCTATTGTTCTGAGGCATATCCAAATTACTTTTAAGAGAATTTAGCTCACTGATGCTGTTGCAACCAATGGGAAATGAAGCTGTGCCCTGTTTTGTTTCAGAAGTTACCTTCTGATTGCTGAGCTCCTGCAGCAATTTGTCTCGGTCATCCTGAAGACTGGCCATAGCCTTGGAAAACGCTTCAATCTGGTGAACATAACTGCCACACTCAGCTGAGAGTCTGCTAACCTCCATCTCTCGACTGACTAATGTCCTACAGAGCTTTCCAATTTCAGCAGCAATCTGATCAAGTGTAACCTTATCTGCAGCATCAAAAATAGCCCGATTCAGAAGAGAATTGTCTTTAAGCATAGCGACAAGATGTAATTTAAAGCCATCCAATTCAGCTTCAAGTTCATCTCCTTTCTTTTTTTCAGTCTGGAGATCAGATGAGTATTTGCTTTGAAGTGCCTTTAACTCCTCTATTATCCTATCTCTATCATTTTGCAGAGCAGTCATTGCTTTCCCAAAGGCCTCGTTCTGGGACCTCAACTCAGTGTTTTGAGACTGAACTTCTAGTATCATCTTCTCTGCAAAAGCATCAGGTTCATCTCCATGTTCAAGCATCAAAAGAGTGTTACTGTATTCCTCATCTGCACCCCTAGTATTTCTGCCCCTTGATTTCTGAAGTTCTTGAAGATTTTCTCCATACTGTCCATTTGACACACCTTCTTGATTCTGAACACTATCACTAGTTACCAGCTTCTCTCCAGATCTGGAAACAAGTTTCTCTTTGTTTAATGATGCAATTAAAGATTCTAAATCATTTACTTTAGACACCAATTTCTTATTTTCATGTTCCAAAGATACAGCAATATCCTTCTGCAGTTCACTGGAAAGCTGCACTTCTTTTATTTGTTTTTGAAGATCATATTTTTCTTGTTCGAGGCTTTTAATACAATCCAATTTCTGCTTAAGTAAGTCTTTTAGCTGATGGTCTTTCAGAGATAAAACTTGGTTAAGATCTTCCCTATATTTTAACAGCTGTGCACTCAGCATTGCATTTTCAGAATGAAGATCATCTATCTGATTAAGAAGCATCCTCAATTCTTCTTTCAAAGCATTATTCTCACTTGCATTGCCAACTAGAAGACTGTCCTTCTGATTCAAGACATCTTGGTGAAGATGTTCCAGCTCTTTGTATTTAGTAAAAAGATCATCCCGATCATTCTGAAGAGATGACATTGACTTTTTCAAGGCATCTATTTCACTGGCAATTGCAGCCTTATCTTGACCTTCTTTGTCTGCTTTCACCTGGAGACTTCTCAATTCATTCTGCATTCTCTGACAGGACTCCTCAGATTGTTGTCTCTCCAGCTGCAAAGACCTTAACTGAAGGTCATACTCTTCGATTTGTTTTCTGTGTTGAGTCTGTACCTGACTAAGATAGTCAGAGATTTCATCACCTTTTAAAGAAATGAGTAAGGAAATTTCCTTGTCTTTATTATTTAGCATGATCTTCATTTGCTCAGAAATGGTCGTCTGCTTTTGCAATTCAGCATTAAGTTTTTCCTTCTCAGCTATAAGCTGTTGCAATTCTTGTTCCTGTCTTGTAAAATTACTTTCCAGAGCTTTTATCTCTTTTCCTGCACTTTTACTATTTGCTATAAGATGATTAAGAGAATTATTTTCTTTAAGGAGTGCCTGCAAAGCTGCTTCTTTGGACTGAAGAACACTCTCCAGTTCTTGCTGCCTGTTCAAAAACACTGCATTTTCTTCCTTTATTCTGCAGAGCTCTTCATAACGTTGCCTATCAACAGACTTTTGCCTCAAATACAGTTCATCCTTTGTTTCCTCTACCACGGAATATTTGATATTCAATTCCTGAATCTGAGTAATCTTCTCTTTCAATTCATCTTGTAATGATATTATTCTTTTATTACTGTCCTCTACCTGTTTCTCTTTCTTTTGAATGATCTCTTTGAACTGCATTTCCCAGGTTTTCATTTCAGTGATTACCCTGTCCCGGTCATCCTGAAGAGAGGACATACACTTTGTAAAAGCAGCTAATCGTGCCAAAGCTGCATTCAAATCTGCTTGAAGTTTCTTGTTTTCAGAGTCCTTAATGCTAATTTCCTCTTGCAAACCATGAACCTCACTAAGTGCCCTATCTTTTTCTCTCTCAAGAGCACCGTGCCTTTCTTCCAGGTTCAAAAAGTCTCTCTTGTGAACCAATTTTAACTGTTGAAGATTAAATTCCAATTGTCTCTCATATTCCCTCTTTTGAATTTGTAGCTCATCATCTTTTTTCTTAAGTTCTTTTCTCCAATTTAGATTCTCATCTGTGAGCCTGTCCACTTCATTCTTTGACTGATCCAACAAGTTCGCCTGTGAAGAGAGCTTTCCCTTGAGATGATGTAATTCTTCATTGGACTTTGCAAGCTTCTCTGACATATTACTTAAGTCCTTTTCAAATTTTTCACTTTTTGACTGTGACAGTTTCACAGATCTTTCCAAATCCAGGATCAGCTCCTGGAACTTTATAGAATCCTTTTGCAAATGGTTTATCTCCTGCTGTTTCTCCTTTAAGAGTTCTTGCAATTCTTTCGTTTTGTTTTTACTTCCATTATTATCCCTTTGAGCACTTTTCACCTTCTCCTCAAATAGTTTTACAAGATGTAACTGCTGTTCTTCCTTTTCTCTGATCACATTACATTTTTCTGCCTTTAATTCTTCCAGCTGCTGTAACAGCAAGTTATTCTGTACTTGTGCCAATTTCATTCTGTCAGTAAGATGATCAACTTTTTTGACATGATTAAGCAATTCTGTCTCAAGAAATTCTCTTTCATTCTTTACTTTGTAAGAACTTTCTTGTACATTTTCCAATTCTTCCTGCAAAAGACATTTATCATCCTCTAAAATCTTAACTTTTTCATTTAGGCTAACAATTTCTTGTGTTAGACTTTTACACTCCATGTCCAGCTTTGTTAGACAGTGATCTTTGTGGCCCAAAGATTTTTCAGTTTCTTTTGCTTTTTCTGAAATTACATTTCTTTCTTGTTCTAAGACAAACACGTCTTGTTCTTTTTCGGAGAGTTTATCCTTTAATGCATTAATGTCCTTTAACAACGATTCATTCTCAAATAATGCCTCGCTGATTTTAGATTGCATATCGTTTTGGTGCACTTCCATTTGAACTTGGAGCTCTCCCAAAGCTGCTTTAGTTACAGTGATATTGTTATGAAGGATATCATTTTCATTCTGAATTTTCTCTAAAGCCTGCTTTAAGTTTTCAGAGGTTTGTTTCAGCTGCTCATTTTCCTCCATCAGCTGATGATTCTGTTTGGTGAGTTCATGAAGACGATCCTGGTGCTCTTGCATCCTTGCCTCTTGCTCACGTATCTGCCTTTCTGCTTTACTTTGTAACTCGTCGACTTCCATTTTCTTGGATTCTCCAAGTTGTTTCAGCTGATTCTTAATAACCTCATTTTCATCAACGAGTTTTTGTAAATGCTTCTCAAGAGCCTCCTTCTCAGATTCTCCTTCCCTGAGTCTTTGAATAGCCTCTTGCTTCTCTTTTCTACTGAGATCAATAACTTGCCTCATATCTGCTATTTTACTACTGATATTCTCATACGCCTGAAGAAGTGATTCATACTCCTGCTTTAATTCACTATGTTTAGCCTTCCATCCTGTTAATTCAACTGTCTGAGAATCTTTTAAGGTATTTAGTTGGAAAGAAAAGGCCTCTTTTTCCTGAACTATAGTCTCCATGGTGGATTTAAGACTTTCACAAGCTGCAGTGAGGTTTTCATTTTCAGTCAGCAGTCTGGCATTTTCAGAAGCAAGGTGTTCCTTTTCAGACAATGGAGAAACAGTACTTGAACTCTGTTTTTCTCTACCAAGCTCTACCAAGTGTTCAAGCATCCCTGTCTTGTTCACCAGTTCTTCTCTTTCCAACATCAACTTATCAAGCTGGTCTTTTAGACATTTATTTTCTCTCAAGGCTTCTTTACGTGATATTAAAGCTGCCTGTAATTTTCTCTGAAGGCGCTCTCTACTCTTCTCTTCTGCTGCAGTTCTTTGCTCTTGTGGTTTAGAATCATTTTCATTTGCAGTTTTTGCCAGCGGCTCTTCAATCACCTGCATTTGTTTCTGGATTTGACATTCTGTTGCTTCTCTCAATTTAGTTTTGCCAGAGAAATCAGTCTCTGATAGCTGAAAATAGGCACCTTTACCCGGCAACTTTACTTGTTTGGTATCATCTTCCTTCAGCTCTTTGGATGCCACCGCAGGTCTGCTCATCTCAGCCTTCTCACGTAGCATACACAGCTCTGTCAGAAGTTTTTTGTTTTCTCCACTGAAATGTTCTACCTCCTTTCTCATATTAGTTACTTCCAAATCAGACTTTTCTAAACAACTGAGAAGTTTTTCTTTTTCACTCTTCATTTCTTCAAGTGCTGTTTTGTAATGGAGAGTTTCTTCTTGGCTTTCCTTTATAGTTTTGTTTAACAATTCCTTTTCCAGATCAAGTTTATATTTGAAATCCGTAAGTGAACAACGCAATGCTGCTATTTCCTCATTCTTTTCTGCAACCTCCTTCTTAGCTTCACTTCTCAATTTCTGCAGTTTCTCCTGGCTCAACTTATAACCCTCTTCACATTTTTTAATCAGTGCTTCCTTCTCATTACTCACACGTACAAGCTCTGTCTTAATGTCTATAGCTTCAGCCTCATACGCTTTCAGCTTCTTCTGTAGCTGCTTTATGTCCTCCAACAAACTGCCCTTACACTGCTCCTGCTGTCTTGAAGAGTGTAAGTTGACAGTTTCTTCTCTTTCATCACTAAATTCAACTGATATTTTCCTCAACTCTTTCCTTAACATTTCTGTTTCCTCCTGAAGTTTTGCATAATTATTTCTCAGTTCTATTAACTCGGTGTCTTTATTTGCCACCAAAGTGATGTCTTGTGTCTCTTTTAAGGATTCAGTCTGAACCTTGCTGCTTGGTTTGTCAGATTCCAAATTCCTTAGGTCAGCTGCTGCTTCTCCCAGCACTGCCTTAGGTGAAGCCAGCTCCTTCCCTAAAGGGTACTCATCTAACTGATTCAAGTCAAGTTCTTTACATTTTGTTTGAAGAACTTCCCAGAGTGCTTTATGTTCTTGCTTCAGTTGTTCAAGTTGGTTTTTCTGCTCATCAAAATCTGCTGCAAGTCTAATGTGCTCTTCCCTTTCTTTCTGAAATTTGTTCCTATCTTCTTCCCTGACCAAAAGCTCCCTCTGTAAGGCTTCTTTTTCTTTTTTTAACTGATTCATTACATTAATGTCAATGTTGGGGTCCAGGCACTTCTTTCTGTCCCCAGCACTTAAACCAGGCTCTTCTGCACTGGAATCTTTCAACAATTCTTCCTTCTTAACTTCAGACTTCACTTTTTCAAGAGCTAAGAGCAGCTGAGAACGTTCCTCTTCATACACACGTGCTTTTCCATCAAGCATAGATTGCATATGAGCAAGCACACAGTCCTTTTCCTCTAAAGATTTTAGGTTCTGCTCACATAGATTTTGTTTTTCAGCAATGACATCATTTAGTTCTGCAATCCTGTCCTGAAGTTCCTTTAAATAAGAAGCTTTAGAAGACAGATTTTCAGTCAAATCACTAATTTTGGCATCTCTTTCTAAAAGTTGTTGCTTCAAAGTTCCAAGATGAGACTCAAATTCTTTATTTTGTACTTCAGCTACTTTCAGCTTGTCTGTTAACTCATTAACTTCCTTCAACAGCTCCCCTGCTTTTTTTTGCTCTTTTTCTATTTCTTCCTGCCCACTCTTTTCTAGTTTTCCAACTTTTTGTATTAGATCTCTTCTTATTATCAATGCTGCTTGAAGTTTCTTTTTCAGATTCTCTTTTTCCTTGCCAATTTTCTCAAGATCAAACTGCATCTGCTCTTTTTCATGCATTAAATCTTTAAACACAGCTTCTCTACTGCTTAATGTAACCTGACTATGTTCCAATTCTTTCTTACAGTCCTCAAGTTCCTGCAATACTCGTGTCAGCTGTCCTACAGAACTACTATGGACAGCTTCAAGGTCTTGCAGTTTGGTATTTAACATATTTCTTTCTTCAGAAAAATTCAGCATTTCATTAGACAAAGATTCCATGATCTGGGTAACAGAAGAGTCCTTTTCTTTCAGTTGCTGGCTTAGGCCAGAAACTAAATCCTTCTGCTGATTTACCTGGGAAGTTAAGTTTTCAATGAGTTGATCTTTTTCTCCCATTTCTTCAAGGAGACTGGCTACTTTTTTACCTTCAATGTGCAGTTTTTCTTGACTCGTTCTTACTACTTCTTCCGATTTATTTATCTTGTCTTGAAGAAGTTCAACCTGCTTATTTACTTCTGCAAAAGACTCTTCCCTTTCTTGCAGGAGAGACTGCTGTTTACATAATGTTTCCTTCACTGTGACCATTTCTTTTGACAGACATTCAATTTCAGACTCATATTTGCCCTTCATCATCTCAATATCATTCTGAAGCAACTCCTTCTGCTTCTCAAGTGACTGCATACTTTTTAATTCCTCTTTCACGGTGTCTATCTCTTTCTGTTTTTCTAAAAGCAACAGTTGCAATTGTTCTCCTTCTGTTTCTTTGCTCAAAACAGTAGTTATCAGAGTGGAGATTTTTTCCAACTGAATTTTACTATCAGTTAGCTGCTGTTCACAATCTGAAGCCTGTGCCGCCTTTTCTTTACATAAAAGCCTACTACTAAGTAATGGAGATAAGCTTTGAGTTAATTCCTCTTTTATAAGATCCAGCTCTTGCTGCAAAGACTGGATTTTGCTATCCTTTGATTCCATTTCACTTTCTAAGCTGCTCAATTGCTCAGTAAGATTATTATTTTGTAAAGTTGCCCTATCAAGTTCAGTCACCCATTTGTTTTCTGACTCAAGTAGACTTTGTTCTAGAGTTTCAAGTTTAAGTTCTAGTTTAGAAAGTTCTTCACCCTTCACACTAACCTGCATCTGTAACTTCTCTTTTTCAGTCTTCATCTGCAGTTTGACAGCATCTATCTGCATTCTTGAATAATTCTCACTGGTTTCTAGTTTTTCATTGATTTCTCGGAGCTCTTCCAATTTCTTCTGCAAATCATTTTGAGATGCAGCAAGTTGTGTGTTTTCCACCATCAGTTTATCCACATCTGCTTGTAACAGATTCTTTTCTTTCTCTAAAGACTCTACCTGACACTGCAGGCCAGCTACAAGAAGTGCATTGTCATGGCAGTCTTGGGATGATTTGGAATTTATATTGTCCAACTCTAACTTCAAGCGCGCTATGTTATCTGCCTGTTCAGAGCACTTCACACGCAGAGACTCCACAGATGATTCTTTCTGCTGTAGTTGTTCTCCCCATGTACTTATTTGGTCTAGTGCTTTTTGGTGTTCTTTTTTAAGAGAGTCAAGTTCACCAGTCAAAGAATCAATTTTCTTCTGATTAATACCGACTTTCTCATTCTTTTCCTGAATTTCCTCAGTCAGGTTTTTCACGGCTGTATCACTTTTCTCCAGTTTTTCTCTGAGAATCTCAACCTCACTAGAAAGAACATTAACGTTGCTATCTGTCAACTGCATACTGGCATCTTTATCCTTTAAAGAATTAATCAGTCCCGCAATAACTTCCTCTTTTTGCCCAAGAGCTGCATTCAACTCAGTTCTTAGTTCATACTGTGCTTCAAGTTTTTCCTGAAGAGATAGAAAGGCATGTTCTTTCTCATGTATTAGTTCTTTAGATTTTTGTAGTTCTTGTGTTAGTTCATGCACCTGATTTTGGAGCTCAGAAATTATAACTGTCCTCTCTTCATCCTTCCTTGCTTTCTCCTTCAGAGTTTTGAGGAGATTGTCATTTTCCTTAAGAGACGATTCCTTTTCTGATAAGGATTGGTCCATCTCAATTACTACATTCTTCTGATGTTGTATTTCCCTTTGCAAAGTCACTTTTGCTTCCTCCAGCTCTACCACCTGTTTCTTTAAAACCTCACATTCTTTTTCTTTCCCTTGAAGCTGCATCTTTAAATTCTCACTGAATAATGAAATATTGTTGATGGTTAATTCTTTTTCTGAAACAAGCATTTTTAATTGTTCTGCTTCAGAGGCTAAAAGCTTTAACTGTTTCTCCTGCAAAACAGAAGATTCCTGCTCCTCAGAAAGCCAGGCTTTTAAGCTGATGCATTCATCTAACTTTTGTTTTAAACATTCATCCTTCTGTATAATTGAATCATTCAACTGGGATGATTTTTCTGTTGCATTTCTAAGCTGACACTGAAGGTCAGAAATAACCTCCATATTCTCAGACAGTTGAACCCTAAGTACATCAGACTCTTCAGATTTATCTTTTAGTAATTTTAATTCTTGGGCTTGCCTCTTAAATTCATTCTCTTTTTCCTGCACTGTTTGTCTAAGCTGGCTGGTTTCAAAACCTAGGGCTTGGATTTGGTTTTGCAGATCAGAAATTATTTGCATATATTGCCCTTCTCCTGCCAATTTACTATCTTTCATTTGCTGAATCAAAGCCTCCTTTTCAGAAAGGAGAGTTTCTTTTTCTTCAGAGACAGTTTTTAAGTTTTCTTTTTCAATCAACAGGCCATCAATTTGGTCCTTCAGTGCTAAAATATTATGACTCTGTTGGGACAAGTGCGAAGTTAAAGCAGCTACTTCATCTGACTTTTTCATGACCATAACATTAACCGTTTCAATGTCTACTTTCAATTTGTTATTTTCTAGAGCTGCTGTTTGTGCTTGTTGCCTTGCTGAAGTAATTTCAGACTGTTGTTGTGCCAACTGTGACTGAAGAAATTCACATTCATGTGACTTTGTGCTCAATAAGCTTGCAAAGTCCTCCTTCTCATGCCTAAGCATGTCTAATTCTTTGCTTAATAGCTGTAGCTGATTCTTTAATGCTGTACTTTCTTCCATGTTTTCAGAAACTTGTCTGTGCAACTTTTCGAGTTCTGAACCCTGATTTTTCAGAGTCAGGTCTCTTTCCTCTATCAAATGTGATAAGTTTGTTTTTTCATCTTTAAGATTTTTAAGTTCATCCTGCAACTCTACAATGCACAGCTTACTCTCCTCCATTTCCTTACATAATGAATCATTTAGAAGGATTTTCTCTTCTAGAGACCTGTTTACAGTTTCAAAATCCAAAGTTAGTCTTTGGGTTTGTTCCTGCAGTAGTAAATTCTTTTCCTTACTATGGCTGAGCTCTTGGATTAGGCTACTGCATTCAGATAATTTATTATTTAACGTTTCTTCTGTTTTTATTTCTCTGTCTCTAGTATCCTTCAGCTGAATGAGAAGTGATTGCATTTGCTCCTGCAACTGTTGTGTCTGTTCCTTGCTTTCAAACAACTGAGCAGTTAGCACATTACATTCCTTTGTCTTTTCCTGCAGCTGTTCTGCAACTGAGTTTTCTTTTTGCTGGGTGAGCACTGAAAGTTGTTCAACCTCCTTTGCCAGAGTGTTTTTATCACAGTTTAGTACTGAAAGAGCTTTTTCGTACTCGGCAGTGCTAACAGATAACTTACTCTCTATTTCTGCCACAGCTTGGATTTTCTTTAACAACTCACACTCTTTTACATCCAAGAGTTTGGACAAATCCTCCTTTTCACTGATCAGTTGTTCCTTCTCTTTTTCCACCATATCAATACTTTTTTTCAGGTATTCATTTGCTTTTATTTGCTCTGCCAATTTTTCCTCTTTCCCTTCAAGATCTGCCTGCAACTGCTTATTAGCTGAAGCTTTCTCCTGTGTCTCCATTTCCAGTTTGTTCATCTGTTCATGTATTTCATTTAATTGGTTATTAAGTTCTTTGCAGCATGTCTCTTTGGCTTTCAGATCTCCAGTTAATTTAAGTCTAGTTTGTTCATTTTGCTGCTCCATAACCCCAAGCTTCTTCTCTAATGAAATAATGAACTCTTGTTTCTCTTGTAACTCTTTTTTAATTGTTTCCTGATGCTCAGTATGTTCTATAAGTTTCCTAGATAACTCAGCCAACTCTTCATCTTTTCTAGCATTTTCCAAAACCAGTTTGTTGTATGAATCTCTAATCGATTGTAACTCATTTTCGAGTGTCTGTGCTTTATTCTCTTTCTCTTTAATCAAATTGTTCCATTTTTCCTTTAGAGTATTGCTTTCCTCAAGCTGAGATTTCAAATACTCAGTTTCTTTTCTTTGTTTATTCTCAGTTTCTTGTAGCTTTTCAGATGATTTACTAATTTGCTCTTTCAGCAAAGTAATTTGTGACTCACACTCAGCAAGTTTGTTACGGTATGCGACACTGTTGGCCTTGATTTCAGAACGGAGATCCTTAATTGTAAGGCTGTTCTCACTGCTTTGTCTAATTAATTCCTCATTTTCTTTGGTTTTAACTTCATTCTCAACTCTGATTCTTTCGAGCTCTAGTCTCATTGCATTAGTCTGCTCAGAAAGGGCAGATATCTGCAGGCTTGCATCTCTTACATCAGCTGTTTGTACTTCTTTCAGTAAATGAGTTTCCCTTTCAGCCTTTGATAAAGCCTCTTCCATGCCTCTTATTTCTTCCTCTTTGCACTGCACCTGATGCTTCAGGATGATAACCTGTTCAGAATACTCTGTCATATTCAGAGACAAGACAGACATCTCCCTGTCTTTTTCTGCCAGTGCTTCTTTAAGATTATCAATTTCTCTTTCACGTTTCTGGAGATCTTGAATAAGTTGAGATCTTTCCTCTAAATGGCTTGTGTTCAATTTGTCAAGCTCTTCATTGGTCTGGTCCAGATCCAGCTGCATCAACTCTACCACGCTGTCTTGCTTCAAAGTCTAAACATCAAGAGAAAAATGTTACAAGAATATTTCAAACTTATGTTAGAGGGAGAATGGAAGTTACACTCCACATGTAGAATGAGCATTTAAGGTAATTCTTAAATTATTATTTATTCTTTAGACTGTTTAAGCATACAGAAAGTTTAGTGTATGAAAGTTTCAGCAGTTAATGCTGTTTTTTTGCTGGCATTTAAACAGGTTGTGTCAAAAGAACATAACATTTCTTCTCTTATTTCATTTTAATGAGTTACCTTTTCCTTCAGTGTAGCAACTTTTTCTGTTAGATCACTGATGACTGTTTTCTGCTCAGTGTTCTCCACTTCATACACACTGCATTTCTTTAAGGCTTCATTCAGCTTAGTATTAAAAATAAAAGGCAATGTGATAGAAATATATAGAACTACATTGAAATTGTGATGTTAGTTTTACAATATTCAGTTTACACAACAGTGTGGTTTATACTTTGAAATTAATGAACGAGGATAACTAATCACCTCAATAGAACATAAATACTTTCATGCAAAGCTCTGTGTTGGGCCCAGGAAATCCTTACACCCAACTTAAAGCAAAGCAATTACATGAACAAAACTGTAAAGAAACAACCTTCAGATAGGAAAGACTGTAATACTGCTGCTGGGACACAAGTAGAAACTTATGCCTGATGCTCGCCAGTTCTAATACTACTATTTAACACAATAAAACTTACTTTTTGCTCAGCATGCACAAACTTTTCACCAAGCTCTTTGTTCAGAAGATCCTTTTCTTGAAGCAGTTTCCTCAAAGTTTCAATTTGTTCCAGTTTTTCTGTTGTGCTCAACAGTTTTACTTCTTTTTCTCCAAGGGAATTTTCAAGGAAGCTATTTCTGTCACTTAAGCTAAAAAGAAAATACATACTTAGACATTTTGAAAACAAAGCTTGCTTTAAGCTTTATAGAATTATAGCCCCAAACTATTTTCTTAAAAGAATAATCATTTTTTACATTTTCCATTTAAACTTCCAAGTACAAAAATAACATCACTGCAAACAGAAGCAGGATTCAAGTAACTCTTTCACAGGTATTTGAAAAGATTATACTTCTCATTCCAAGTTTAAGCTTAAAGCAAAGAAAGCTAATCCTGTACAGAGTTGTAAAGACTCTTTATTTTACCCTTTAAGCTGCTCATTCAAGCTAGAGATCAAAATCTGATGCTTTTCCATATCTTGTTTTTGTTGGTTGCGTAACTGGGTGAGTTGAGTTTGCAAACGTTCATTTTCATTCTGCAACAAAACAATAATGAAGAGCATTATGATATACAAACACCCAGAACAGCATGAAATAACTGGAGTCATGAAAATCTGACTCTTCAGGGGATTCACATCCTACACAGGAGTAAGAGACTATTATTCCAGCACATTAGCAGATATCAGTGCAAAATACAACACTCCTATCACAAGTTCAGATGTGATATTAGTCAGACAGATGTAACCCACCTTGCAGAAATACCTCCTTTAGCATGAACTCAAGAATGATTGCTTATACCCAAAACAACACACACGCTCAGACTGTGTTAAGGCAGCTTACTTATCTTAACAGGGGAAGCCAATGCTTTGAAAAAATACTTTCCTCATTGGTTTCAAGATAGCACCAAACTGGTAATTTTTTTGGGCCTATATTTTCAAGTTGAAGGAATGCAAAATATGAGGGATTGTGGAGAAAAAAAAAAGAGGAAGCAAGCTTCATTCACACAGCTTTTGGTTTTTTAACACAATACAAATCTCCTACTCTAACCAGATCCACTGCACTGCAATTCAAAAAGAAAACCACAAACCAAAAAGATCTTACAACAGCAACCAAGTAACCCAAACCCAAAAGCAAAACACATATCCAGAGTCAACAGCAAATAGGACAAACAGGGCAAACTTGTCACCACTAATGAAAATAAGCTAGCCTTTTGGAAGAGGCAGAACACACCTGTACCGCCCTCAATAGCTGCCCTTCTTCATCTACACCAAAGGTTACCTGTATTGAAAGGCTTTGTTACAAGATTCTCCAGGAGTAATTAATATAAGGTTGTTTTTCATGTTAGTAACATTAATGTGCAACTTAACAGATAAAGATCTATGATTATTTGTAAACCTTATTTGCACTAAAATGACACAACTGATCCCTTACACCAAGAGTTATTCTCAAACGTATTCACTTGTCAGTCAGGCAATATTAAAAATAACTTTTCTGATAAATATTTACTGTACCATTCCTTTTGGTGCCTTCACTGAACAATTTTACAATACAAATATATATCAAATCAATATCTGGGGTCTAGATTGTATATCAGAATACTGAAAAATTATTTTTCTATATTTAAACAGTTTCTTTTCTATAAATGTGTGTGTGTATAGACAATAACACACACATACATTTACAGGAAAGAAATTCGAGGGATGTAAGAAGAGGAAGACTTATGCCAGTAGTAACAAAATCCAATTCTGGACCTTCTGACAAAGGCCCTACAAAGCATAATGAAAATCATGTTGGCTTTCACTCTGTTTTGTCAAACAAATAATAAAGCTTACTTCCAAATAAGTCTCTCCATGCGCTGAACAGAAATGAAAGGCTTCAACTTCAGAGCATAATAGAGTACATGTACACTCTGGCAAAACAATTATCAAGCAGGCTTTAGACATTTTTGTTAGCTGCAAATTGATGTTTTTGTCTTACTGTAGGTTATGATTCTATGAATACAGACAGAGAATAAAGTGATTCTCTTATATCATCATGTTTTACACACTGCGAAAGCTCACCTGAAGAGCCTCCATTCTCCCTTGAAGCTGAAATCTGTCTTCCAAATCCTGACAACGCTCTTCTAGGAAGAGAATTTGTTCCTGCAGTTGATTTCTTTCCAATTCCAACTCTTCAACCACACTCCGCAAACCTATTTAAGTCAAAGAAGGAGTTATTTCAAGAAGGGTCTACTAAAATTCCTGAAGTCTAGAAATGGTTTCAGCTTCTTACTCACAATTCTCACTGCTGTTGGGCACAATCAGCTCTCAGCCATTTCCAGTGGAAATGCCTGAGGCCCTGTGTTTCCAAAAACCAGATGTCAAAAGTACCCTGAACTATTGAAAAACCAAAATAAAGTTGCATAGCTCAAGAACTCAGAATGGGGCAGAAATATTCTAAACATTATTGTGGCTCAATCAAGCGTGTGGCTCCTGTTCCTTTAGTCGTAAGTTAATCATGTAATTGCAGGGTCAGGTCTTAAGTAATTATTAATAATCAACCTGGTGTGTATCAAATGAGTCTATTCCACTTTAATAATAAGATATATTTGCAGCCTTTACCATCTATATAAAAACATAAGCATTAAAAAATAAGAATTTGATTTTTAAATTAAAATCATACAGCAATGGAACACAATTCTGCTTTGCAACACAACTGTGATGTAAATTGGAAACACATTCACAGGAACAAGACTCATAACTTAAAAAACATATGATCTTGCCACAGAGGGTATTTCATAAGCACCAAGGCTCAACCTTGTGCTTGGTTGTGTATTCTAATTCTGAACCAAAACTAGGCAGTTCATCCAGCACGCACATGCTTTAAAATGAAAAAGAAAAGGCAAGCCAAAAAAATTCAACAAAGATTAGAATACACCACAAATGGGTTGTTAGTTGAATTTGAAAACAAAAATAGACACAAAATACAGATGCTGTGCATGCTTTAATAAACTGTCTAGTCGCTATCACACCTGCATTAGGTGAAGTGTACTCTGGCCACCAACCTCCCATGTTTTCTCCTTCAGCTGAATCAGTGCTATCCAAGGTGGTGTTCAATTCTTGAAAGCATTGTTTTCTATCAAAGTTGTATTCTTCCTATGCACGAAACATGAGAATGAAGTTTAAATTAAAGAAGAAAGGAAGCAAGGGTAAAATACGTATTATAGCATCACAGAATGTGTTGGGTTGGAAAGGACCTTAAGACCATCTAGTTCCAACCCCCTGCCATGGGCAGGGACACCTCACACTAGACCACGCTGCCCAAGGCTCCATCCAACCTGGCCTTGAACACTGCCAGGGATGGAGCATTTACCACTTCTTTGGGCAATGTGTTCCAGTGCCTCAGCACCCTCACAGGGAAGAACTTCTTCCTTAGATCTAACCCGAACTTTCCTGTTTCAGTTTAAACTCATCACCCCTTGTCCTATTGCTAAAGTCCCTGATGAAGAGTCCCTCTCCAGCATCCAACATATTTAATAACAGAATAATAATATATTCTGTTATTAAAAGCATAGTTTCAATTTAAAGTCCTAAAACTCAGCATGGGAATCAGGTGCTTAAAAGTGCATGGAACTGCTGTGGACACTGGAGTAACCTGCCCAGTTTCCAGCTTTTATTTCCAGAAAAGCCAAGTCTCCCACAGGATTTCTATAGTAGCTGCCAGGCCTTTGAAGACACCCTCAGGCATCTGAAAGGCCAGTGAACAAGTATGTCTGGATACCTTAACTAGTCCCCTGATTTCTAGTTAATAGGTTGTCTGAATCTCAGACTAAAGTACTGGAGTTAACTAAACATTAAATTGTACTTCTAGTGGTATGTTAATGTGACAATGACATGCAATTTTTCTTACAAAAACTATCATCTTTTTGTGCAAGTTACAGCACCAACTACACAGAATTACACCTGAATGAACTGACACTACTCAATAGTTCTTCAGCAAAGCTCCACCAACAGAGAGATTCATAAAGATTATATCTAAACCAAAGAATGCTTTAACATATTAAGCATGCACACAGCTTCAAGCATTGGAGTGAATTACTCCAGAGGGAAGCTCATTAGTTTTCAGTGTAAAATTAAGTAGATTCAAGGAAAGAAGATGCGTGATGCATTGAATTTCTTACCTTCTGGCTACGTCTGGTTACAATCATCAAATTACCAGAGTTTGCAGTTCCGTAAGTAATCTAAGTTCTTAAGTCCTTAATGTTTTTGAGTGTAAAATACCATACAAATAGTAGTACTTTCCATATTTTTATTAACATAAGAGATAAAAATAAACTTTTCTCTCATTTAACCCACCTGAAGCTTCCTGTTGGTTTGATTGCTTTTTCTTCTTGCCTGCTGCAGCCTGCCCATTCCTTGAACTGTGGTCAGTTCCTCCTCCAGCTCCTGTTCCCCTGAGACCATGGCTGGATCAGAGCAGCCAGGAAAGAACCAGTCATCCTCAATCAGTTTTGTGCCACAGGAATGCAATTACATTTATATCAGACACTACTACATGAAAAGAGAGGCCAGGGACAGGCTGAAGTCCCTATGAACGACTGACAGGAACAAGATTAAAGAAGCAAATCCACAGCATTTACCTTGTGATTTCTCTCCAACATTACTCAACTACATAGAACACAAAACTCAAGTTTGCATATCTCACTAAGAAGCAAACTCAAGTCTAACTTTACTTCTTCATCAACTCTAATTGAAGACTTTATATAGAAGACTAAAAAGGGTGAGGTTATGCTGATACCAGAAAAAAATGCCAACCAATACAAATGCTATATTACATCTCATTTCAATTTACCAGGTTAAAATATACCTCATTTGTATGAGAAAGGCTGAAACAGCTGTGGTTTTTAGAATGTGAACAATCAGTTTTATGGAGATGACACGTGTTCTTTTCAACTTTGATTTTAGTATTAGCCATAAAGCCAGATCATTCCAGGAAGTCACAAGCAGGTGTTACACTGCAAACTGGCATCAAACCATCTTATCACAGATTAGCAATACCATTCTTTTTAAGACAAATACAGAATCACTTGTAAATAAACACACTGCATAAATTCAGTATATGAAAGCTTAGGTATGCATCCTGTTCATTGTTAGAAATGAGTTTTCATTTCAAGTACATTCCCATCTGTTTTGTGATACGACAAAACATGTTTGGGGTAACAGATTAGGAAACAGATGTTTCATGCAAAGCAGACAAAACAGAACAGCCAGCAAACAGAAGTGAAAGCAAAGGTGGCTCCATACTTTAATTGAAAGTTAGATTACTTAGATAGTTACACATTTAGCTTTCAATTTAACCACATCAATCCACAGTTGTTCTCACAGCATGCGAAATTCAGAGAACTTATGTTGATGCATCTGTGAGGTTAATACCAGAAGTAGGTGATTCAGCCCTACTGGAAGCACTCAACTTCCAGCTGAGTTGTCCAAGGAGTACTTGGACATATACCATAATGTCATTAACATGCAGTTCAGTAACACTTCCTAGATTTAAGTTCTTCCTGTAATGTTTCAAAATTCCATATCTAACATGTTGTCAGAAAAGATTAGAGGAAAAAAGTTTAACAGAAAAAGAAAATTAATGACCCTTTTAAAGCAGGTCTGTTAAACTGGGCTTTAATTCTGGTTTTAATTCCCCTTTGGCTTCTGGCAGTGTCACTTTAGCAGCATTCATGTTACACACCTTTGTTTATTTTCCAGTATAGATTTTACAACTTTAACTCTTATACGTACTTCTTCAAAGCTGTGAAAATCAGTGCCAAATGTCGATCACAAGCCTTAAACCTCTGTTTACAAGAGCTGTCACTGAAGTCAGCAAAGTGATTCAAGAAGCAAGGAAGGAACTTAATCCCTCCTTTGGAGGGGAAAAGAAATAAATTCAATTTCTTGGACAATCAATTTGATGTGGTCTGGGTTTAAGTATAATCAGAATGTACAACATGCTGTCCTTTAGGAACACAAAAATATTTAGGCTTTTAAGTATTTGATAAGGAAAAAAAGAATTAAATTATCAGTATCACATGAAAAATCAAAATACAGAAACCAGAGCTTTACAATTACTTAGAACACTTAATCAAGTGTTAAAACGCTTTATGTTAAATTATGCATTAATTTACCAACAATTAGTAAGTAAATACATTTGCTAATGTTTTACAACAGCTTAAGGAGCTTTTCAATTGCAACTGTATCTAATGCAAAATCTGAAAAGCTTTGAGAATACTCATCTACACACATCTAAGTTAACTAATGATGCATCTCTATTTCCTATTCACACTTAGTATCACAATCTTTAGTGGTCTGCAGAGGAAAAAAGCCTTGGTCTTAAGTGTAATTAGTACTGTTGTCCTCTACGCTTTTGCAGCTCCCCACACATTCAATCCAAAAGAGACAATGACCACATATGGCAAATTGTCACAAACTATGATGGAATGAATAGTGAGTTTATATACCGCTTAAAAGGTTGGACTTGATCTTAAAGGTCTTTTCCAACCTAGCTGCTTCTAGGATTTTTTATTGGTAGCTAATATAATTGTATGCAAATTCCTGCAATTTATGAGATGGAATATAATTGTGGTTTGAGGTTTTCTTAAATACTCCTGAATTTTAAGTCCTACTTAGAGTATTTAAATGAATTTGCTTCTTACTTAGTCACGACCACTTGTAGCAAGTCAAGAAGTTTTTCTCTAGATAAGGTTACAACATAAATATGGAGTCAGCTGTTACTACAAAGGAAAATGAGGATGATTTGGTTAATATAAATAAAGAAACAGGTATTGCAAGGCAGGAAAAAAGTCAAACCCAGCATTTGTTACGTGTATTGATAAAACCCACATACCATCAATGGCAAATCTTATAAGGTACTGTTGGCAATTTCCTCCAAAGAAGCCAAACCAGGAGAAATCAGCAACAGTATATTACAAGTTGCCATTGCTGCAGGAACCTGCATGCACAAAACTGATGGGAAACTCTGTTCTCACTGGCTGACCAAATCGCAGTGTAGGGTAGGAGTGGAGGGGGAAGGGACGCTGAGCGCTCACCAGGTGTAACGGCAGGAAAAAAGAAACAGAAAGGTCATGCTTATCCCAGGGGAAAAAACACCAAGTCAAACATGGACTGACACAGATGAAGGTCTACAACTGGTATTAAAATTGCATGTGGAGCTGTAGTTACCACAGGTGAGGTTGTTTTAATGAAAGGAATATTATTCTCTTTCCGTTTCAAAGCATTACGTGTGTAAATCCCTCAAAAGGAAGAGACGTGATCCTTAAAGCATTTCTGTGCTTCCATACTGAACTTCCAAATTGATCATGTAAATGAAAAATGATTCAGCTGCAAATTAACTGGATTAATTCTGATGGTAGGTTGTGTGCATTCAAATTTTCCATTAATTCCCACACAGTTAACTAACAGGATGAAAATTACATTATAGTACTAGTTGGCATGGAAAAAAGCAGTAAAAACTACCTGAAATTTAACCAGACTTTTGTAAGTTTTAATAGAAGCTGCTTCACTTTCTCATCATTGTTTTCTTAATAATTTAGAATACTGTAAAACCTGAGATCACTTGAAATGTTATTTTCTGTAGGTAATTTAATATCTTCAATTAGCTTCAAACCATTGGAGGTGTATGTTATTCAGGTGACCTACACAAGTTACACTTACTAACAGATTACTAAATACTCTAAGAAGGGTTTCTCATTAATTATGTTTAAAGGAAAACTCCATCTCAGGTACATTCTACTAAAGCACCACCTTCATTCATCAAACTCAAGCCAAGCCTATTGTTCTAGGCAGGCATCTTTAACATTTCAATGATGAACTTTTTATCACTGAGCATTTGTATGCAGACAATAAGCTTTCAAAGCAAGTTCAAGCAGTCTTACAAAGCAGCAACTCAGATGACAAACAGAATGAGTGCATCTACTTATAAAAATGATACAAAAAAGACGAATGTATGAAAAACACAGATCCAAGAAATAGGAGAAATTGCAAGTTTAAGCAATTTCAGTTACAAGTCTTATGACTACAGAAATGAGTTATGGTGGTGTGCCATCAATTCAGTCTGAACTACTGCATACACACACGTACATATATATGTGTATAAAGATGATAACTGTATTGTATATAAAACAATTCACCTTCTCTCTCCTCCTCAATCTGAGCCATTCTCAAAGCCATAGCAGATTTCTCCTCCCTGACTGGATCGCGCAACTCCTCTGACTCTTGTACATTTTCTTGCCATTCCAAGAGCTGACTCTGCAGTTCATCCACACTACCTGATTCACTGGCCTACACAAGAGAAATTGAGCATTAAAATATATTTACCAAATCCCACTGCAAATGTAAATAACATTTAAGTTGGCAAACCATTCCCAGAGAAAACAATTCATTATAATTCACCACGTTGTATAAATAAAGATCTATGAAATTGATGACAATTGCTATCGTTGGTTATGTAAAAATCAAGCCTCAGCAATCTGTAAAATATCAAGTATTTTTAACCAAAAAATGGCTTTTTTAACCAAAATTTTTTGTAGCATATTATCATCTTAGCAATGTTTGAAAGTAAAGCAATATCCACCTGTCTTTATGAAGGATAACAAATCTCTATTAACTTACTTTCCACATGAACAGAATAGAAATGTTCCTGCCTTTCCATCAAAATAAAAACTAGGTTAAGATTTTACCAAATAAATCCCAGCTTCTCCACAAAATTTGGAAAAAGCAATTCTTTTTTTAGCAAACTATAATTAACTGTTTCAAACTGGCCCTGCCACTAGGGCTGTACAAAGATACCATGATTAATGTGTGCTGTTAATCCATGTAAAGACCTTAAGCAATGAGTCTTCTCATTTCTGAGTCTTCTCACTTTCTTATCCAGACCTATACATTCATCAAGGTTACAGCTATTATTTCCTTCTGAAAGCTCTTCACACTGTATACAAAACAATGCTTTGATGACGTGTGTTACATGTAACTAAACAGTAAACTGCTTGGAAAAAATGCAATTTAAGGTACCTGGCAAAGTAAGTAAAATCATTCTTCTAAGCAATTCGAAGCCTGTCACCTTGTAATCCAACTGAACAGCTACTGACACAGCCAATTCCATACATCACTGAATTCATTTTCAGCTCCAAAATCCAGCTAACACACTCCTCAAAGTCTAATTAGCACTGCTTGAGTGAATCAGTAACTCATAGAAACCAGTTCTAAAGTTAACCTGTGAAGCTGCCCTCTTTGTAACTTGGTCAAGATCAGCCTGCAGCTTCCTTTGCTGCTCTTCATAGACTTCCAGCTTAGTCAGCAATTCTTCTACAAAAAACATAAGAAAATTGGTTCATTAGGACACAAAACTAATAAGAAGATCAAAAAAAATTTAAAAGAAAGATTCAAAATGAAAATTTAGATGATAATTCGTTTGAATTAGATGACCTCTCTTGGGCTGCATTATGCACCTAGCCATGATACTGTCTTCTTGATTATTAAATATTGATGAGTGCTTTAAATCTAAGCTGCTAAGAAGTTAGACTGTTGAACTGAAAATTCTACTGTTCTCCATTTATAGAAAGGACATCAGAAAAAATAACACAAGGTGAAACAGAAAAATCTTCTCAGAGCTCTACTTTAAACTCTCTGAGGTTTTCAGCAAAAATTCTCTTTCAAATCCTTACAAAACAGAAGAGAATTCTTAATTCACTTGCAACTCACTGCTCTCAGAAGTTTATTGTATATACTCTGATAAACTCTCCAAGTATGTTGGCCTCATTTTTCCTTCTAAGAAGATGCTTCTGCAACTTCTTGGAAAAGTTTACACCTATTCTGCCTAAGCCTAAATGTAACAAGAATTACACACAGCTCGATGTAAGGGAGGAAAAGCCAAGCTGTAACTCTGACTCAAAACACTCTATGCTTTTGTTCAAAGTTGCATAAAGTTACTTCAAAATCTATTTCAAAAAAACATACACTTTGAAAATAAAAATGAGAAAGCTCATTTATCTTTCTCTTTACTTTGAATCATCTGCAAAAGATAGATTCTTTTTTTTACCATTTTGAGTTCTGATTTCATGTAACGACTGCAGTTTTGACTGGAGTTCTTCATTTTCAATTTCTAATTCTGAGATACGACTGTTTAAGGCAGACACATCATTATTCTTTGATGAAAACTAAAAGAAAAAAGAGTTAGGAGTTTTCAAATGAATCAAACACCAAAATCACAGCAAAGTCAATTAGAATAGCTGGTTTTCTAATCTTTGAAAGTGCAATAAATCAGCTAATCTGTAACAGATTTACTCCTCAATGCTGGTAACACCAGTTTATACCAACTTTTGTTGAAACTTCACTCTGTATCAACATTTTATGTCAATGCAATTTTCATACATTAATTCCCATATAAAGATACTTTGAATAAATTATTTTAATATTCTATTTACCCCATATTTTACTTTTTTCAGTCACATCTCCAAGCACAGTAGTTTAGAACAGCCATAGAATATTAAACACAATGTTACACATACATTTTTTAGTTCATCCTCCAGTTGTTTGATTCTTGATTTAGACCAAGCCTTCATTTTCAAAAACTTTGCTTCAGATTTGCTGGCCTCTTCTGTTTTCAATTTCACTTGTGCTAAGAAGCAAGATGGAAAAGAATTATTTAAACCATAGAAAGATTACTAATATGAGATTTACGTTCAAATTCTTTAACAATTGCAAGTTATACACTTATATGAGACAATTACATCTATAGAAAAACATAACAATAAAAAATGCAGTAAGAAATTTATAGTTCATATGATTATCTCAGTATTCCTATAACCCTCATGATTACAGTATATGATCAGAGATACCTTTTAATTAGCGTGGCAATATCTCTTCCACTAAATTTAATGTAGTTCTACTTGCAAGAGGTATGAAATTGGGAAACAGTACATAACAGCTGGGAGCAAAGGAACCCTTCATGTGCAACAACTCTTTCAATAGGATACCTTCTAAGTCTTCCATCTTCTCTTTGGTTATAGACTCCAGATCTCCATCTTCTTTTGACTTAGTCTGTCCACTACCACTTAACTCCTCCACTTGTTTCTTAAGCTGAAACAGGGCCTGATCCTTCTCTTGCAGCTCAGTTTCATGTTTCTCTTGAATTTCATGCAGTTCAGCATTATACTTCTCCTTAACTTTCGTCATTTCAAGCTCGTGTTTCTCCATCATGTCTCTTAACTGGGCTCTCATTACATGTTTCTCAGCATCCAGTTTAGACTGGAGGTTTTCTTTTTCAGACAGAAGACGTTTCAGGTTTTCATTAATCTCCTGGAAAACAAACAGAAGAAAAACAAAACTCGCCTTCTATTTTAATGCAAAGTATTTTTATACCACTATCAAATATTTTAACTGTATTACTACATACACTATAAACAGAAATCAGGGCTACTGTGGTAATCTGGCTCTCCTACAAAAGTTCTGCTATTCAGCTCTGACTTTCCAAAACTGAAGTGGGGACTTGAGCAAAACGGCATCACTGTTTGATAGCAAACTACATGCAACCACTCCCATAGGTGAAAAAGGAGTAAAAAAGAATGGTTGGCTCTATGGAATACTAAAAAGAAACCAAACAACAAACCCAGAAGCAGACCTCTTTAACAGTGATCTCAAGGATTAAGAATGCTCACTAAAAGGCCACCCAGGTCTTGTCACCTTCGTCCATTAAAGCTGGCAAACTGATCTAGTTCTTCTTTACAATATTTTGTTGCTAACTAGTTTTCTGCTAATGCTTATTCTCCTTTTAGTGCCTTTAAATCAGTCATTTTAACACATAAAGAAGTAGAAAAGACCACTGTAGCAGAGCAGTCCACTCACATCAGTCCTGCTGTGCAAAACACTACTTCCATGACGCATAAACCTAGGATTATAAACTGCCCAAGTAGAGATGCAGTGCAGAACAGCATAGGGAATATTTCCAAAACATAGTTAACTGCTTGGGAAGTTGAAGATTTGGTTGAAATAGCTAAAATGTTGGACCTGGCAACCCACACAGGCTATAATGTGCCTGCTCCAGCAGAGTCCCTAATACCTATCTCAGTGACCGCAAAGTCCTTTTTCTGGACTGTTGAACTTGAGCAGCTGCACTCAAAGGCTATAATCAGGGTCATGATAGATGCTTGAACACAAAGAACCTTGATTAGGTATTGCTATTTGCAATCATTAGAATACAGCAAAAGAAAGGCACACAACAAGCAAAACACTCTCTTTGGGGGGAAAAAAGTTAAGCCTCAGTTATAGCTCTTGCTGCAGTCTCTAACTAGAGAAGCTGAAATCTATTGACAGTAGAAAGTCTTCCCTACATGGCACATTCCCAAAATTAATCAAGACAAACTATGGGTGAGAGTTGACAGTTTTGTATTTTATGGACTTTGCTTCTCCTTTAAATTAATTTTCTAACCAGAATCAGTATTTACTTGCACAACTATGGTTGTGTTATTAGCACGTGCCAAGGCCTCCAAAGAACTGCCTGAATATTTTATGCAAAACTATCTTTTGTGCACAACCAAACAGCTTTTTGAACTTGTAATTGACCTGATCAGTTAGTTCTGCATGTATGCTATTGAGACCCCACTTGCAGCACTGGGTGCAGTTCTGGTATCCCCAACATAAGAAGAGCATGGAACTGTTGGAGCAAATCCAGACGCAGCCACGAGGATGATCAGGGGCTGGAGCACCTCCTGTATGGAAACAGGCTGAGAACGTTGGGGCTGTTCAGCCTGAAGCAGAGAAGCTGCGTGGAGACCTCAGAGCAGCTTCCAGTGTCTGAAGGGGGCTACAAGGATGCTGGAGAGGGACTCTTCATCAGGGACTGGAGGGACAGGACAAGGGGCGATGGGTTTAAACTTAAACAGAGGAGATTTAGGTTAGATATAAGGAAGAAATTCTTTATTGTGAGGGTGCTGAGGTGCTGACACAGGTTGCCCAGAGAAGCTGTGGCTGCCCCATCCCTGGCAGTGTTCAGTCGAGATTGGATGGGGCTTTGAGCAACCTGCTCTAGTGGAAGGCGTCCCTGCCTGTGGCAGGGGGGGTTGGAATTAGATGAGCTTTAAGGTCCCTTCCAACCCAAACCATTCTGTGATTCTATGATTCTGTTTCTTACTTTCAGTTGCTGGTCCTTGGCATCCAGTTCTTTTTGCAAGACATCTATCACCTGTGTCCTTCCCAGCATGACTTCTTCCTTTTCATGGAGCTTCTGTTTCAAGGCCTTTAGTAGCTAGCAAAACAAAGTAAAATCAAGCAATCGATGAAGGAGTTAAAACTTTTAGAAGAAAAAGACTATCTTTATTTTCCCAAGCAGAGATCTGAACTGTGCTGCAGAGGTTAGTAATTACATGATTCCAAATTGCCATGTCTAACTAAATCAAAGCAAGCTACTGGGTTTCCAAAGCAACATACCTGTTCTAGGTCAGCACTTGCATCAGATTTAGCAGCTAATTTAAAGAGCTCCTGCTCGTGCTTTTCTCTCTGTGCCTGCAGTTCCTTTTCCTTTTCATGGATAATATTTTGACACAAACGTACCTAAAAACACAGAGAAAGTAAATATGAAACCAGTCCACAAAGGGATACTAAAAGTACACTGAATTGTCTAACTAAAAGTACAGCAAGATAATGTATTCTATTGTAAATCTGTATTTTCCTTCCAGTTAACTGCAAATATACTGATCAGTCAGTGATTACTGATGTCAGTGGTGCATGTAGATAAACCTCCAGCCTGCAGAAAATTTGTCTCAATTCCACTATAATACACTTCAAATGAGAAGCATGGTACCATTCATTTTTGTTTAATGTCACAGATCTCCACCTTTCTGTTTTGGATGCCACTCTCCTCAGACTTATAATTTCCAGAAGATTATACTGATTACGTTCATTTCTAGCAAGTTGCCATTGATTAAGCCCAAATGGCAGCTTTGAACCATAGTTGTCTCCTCTTCAAAACCCTGTATTCTACTTCCAATGTGTCTTGGTCCATCTTAATTTTTTTATAAGGACTGGATATAGCTTTTGGAATCTCACTAATGATATTTTGAATAAATTCACATAAAGGCCTACCCAGATTCATATCAGAGTGAGGAAACTGTGCTCATGAAATGGCTTTTACAGTCACAACTGTTTGCTTTCTTCTTTCTTCCCTGTATCAAAACTGATTTCTTGTGTGCTGCTGAACAGGTGTGGTCATGATCAGCATCAGAAGTAGTTTTTTTGTTACAGATAAAATAAATTCAGACATCAAATGATGTGGGGAATACTGAGATAAGTAGTTTCACATACGGTAGAACTCAAGTGCCGAGGGATCAGGCACATCACATTGGAACTTGAGATACAGCTTCCAAGAGATCTGGAAGAACTGCTAACACGAAGGAATGGGCAACATGCTCCCTAGTTCCACCTTTTCTTTCTACGTATTATTTAATAAGTTGTTGTTTGTCTTGCCCTGTCAATCAGCTGCTAACTTCCAGAGAAGTTTCCCATTAAGTACACCAAACTTCTTCAGCTCTTTCTCAATCAGGAGGAAAACAATTTTTTTCCCATGCTCTCATAGCAAGAAGTGTGCCAGACAGCCCACAGCACAAGTGAAAGCCATCTGTCAAACTGCCATTTGTGCCAAGAATGGCTGCAATAATCCAAAACCACTACCAGCCCCTGCACGCATGCATTTTTGCACCTTGAGACACGAGAAAGAGATGTTTGGAGGTCGTTCAACTGGAATTCTGCACGACCCATTTCTCTCTCTTGCACACTGGTGCCTCCATGCCCAAACACCACCCACATCCTAAAACTCCTTTCTGGCCCAAAACTTTCAGGTTCAATTATCGCCAGCACAAACTACCTGCTGCTTCATTATTCTCATTTCATCTGAACATCATACAGATCTTTACTCAAAAAACATCCAAAATTAAAAATGGCATTTAACTATTGAGCTGGAAACATTACAGCCAAGATACTACTTCTTCCACCAAAGAATGTAAATATTTTTTCAGTGCATTTACTTACATTTTCCATATATGTGGCTTCTTTTCCCTGGAAACGCTCTCTTTCTTTGCTCTGCATATTTTTAAGACTCTCAATCTGTTCCTGGAACAGGCTACATTTTTCTTCACTGTCTCCAACCTTCTTGGTAAGGTTCTGAACTAGAACCTGCATGCTTTGTAGTGAAGACTCCTTAACAGCCAGCTGATTCTTTAGAATGCAAACAAAAAGACCATTAAAAGAATAGACCCAGAAAAAAGAGAGAGAAGCTCTTCCCTCAGTTAAAGCAACATTAAACTCAAAATCAGGTTTGGTTTTACTTTGAAAGAAATTTTTCAGCAGATTCCAAAGTTGATAATAATATGTATAAATGGTAGTGACAAAAGAAGTAAATAAATATAGATCTACTAACATAAATGAAAATAATCAGTAAAGAAGTTTTATTCACATGACTGTGCTTCAGAGAAGAATCCACTGTATAAGACATCAGAATCCATTGATTCCTTGAAATGTCTATGGAGATTTTACATTTGAACTGCTAATATACCTTCAATTCTTCATTGGGCAAGAATATTTCATTGGCAACACCACTTGATCCACATGCTGTCTGTAAATCAATGATATAGGCATCTCTTTCAGCTAACTTCTTTTCCTTCTCTGCCAGCATGGCATCCATTTCAGCCCCACGACAGCGCTGCGCCTCCAGCTCAACACTCTGAAAATGAAAACAAGAACAGTTTGCACTGTTTCCTTATTGCCTGCATTAGGGCACTGAAAAAATGATAATCAGATTTAGAACCTGGTTCAATCTTAAGTGGAATCTTTAATTATTGAACCTTTTCTCTAAAATAACTTCAGTATTTGCTGCCACTTTCCACAGTGAATAGACATGTCCACAAAACACATTATGGCAGAGAACAGCTACAAACCTTTACATCGTCTCTTGCCTGTGTTTCTTCCTGTCATAACTTACTATTGCAACAAGACCCGAAGCAAAACAGTACAAAGAGAACATTAACCCACAATGTTTGTATTTGTGTTTCCTATTCTATTCATTTTCAAATGACTACAAAAGCATGCTTGAGGATTCACTGCTCGCTGAAGACATAGTGACAGAATTCTCACTGCCTTTGCTCAGGCAGGTTGCAGTGTATAAATATCTCTGTCTACTCAACAGAAAACTCTCGGAGTATCTGTTTACTAACTTAAGATATAATTAAATATTTAAACAACTGTATTGAAACATAGTCCTATAGCACAGATGTGAAAAGCCACACACTTGGCATCACCTAAAACACCACCTTTTTTCGTAGCTCCTCATTTTTCTGTGTGATCTGGGATTCTAGTTCTTCAATTCTCCTTCTCAGTACTAATATTTTCCCACGATTTGCCGCTGCATTTTCCTGGTCACCATCTTTTGATGCCTGCAAAAACAGGGAGATTTGTATTCCGTAAACAGGTAACACCTGACTTCTGTATCTCTACCTATTCAGATAATATTGATGAGAAAAAGTGGACTTTACTCATGGCTTGTGTTTCAGTTCTCTTACATATTACATATTCCATGTAGAAGCTAGACATACCAGGCACAGAATTTGTATCAAACTTGTAGAAGATCTTTGTATTTCAATTATTAATGATAATTATTGCTGCAGAATGGAGTGGGACATGCAATAATGGCTTTTATTTCCTCTGGCAATTATAACCCATATAACATGTCAAGCGCAGTCCATGTAACTCAGAGGGAAAAAAAGATTATTTGGGGGAACAAAGTGTAAATGAAACTGTTCCCAGGCACAGTGCTTCTAATCAGAGTTCCAGTAGGTGTAACTACTGAGTTATAGAAAACATTTGCTGTTAGAAAAGCAATCAAGTGCAGTTGCTAAGAACATGCTTTATTAGCAAAATAGCATAAATAACTACCTCCTGTGTCTCTTGAGTACCCTTGAAGACTTCAAACTGATCTGTTTCTGCTCCCTTTAAACATACCTTTAAAAGAACAAAACCCCTAGAAATATTAAAGCCTCACTGAAGTTATTTTAGAGGCTGTATGAAGTTAAAACATGCCATGTTAAAGAAATGCAAGTCTACTCACAGAACTGCACCACTATAAAAACACTGATCATCTAAATGAGACCTTCCAACAATTTACATTTTGCTACCAAGGACACTTTCATATTTCCATTTTTATCTTAGACATTGAAGTAACAAGTTATGTTTTGTTTTCATTTCTTCCCATAAACTTATCTTCCTGATCCACATGAGTTAAGATTTTGAGCTGCTACTAAGATGGTTATTTTACTAAAACAATTTGAAAGGAATGTACAGTTTTCTAAATTTCTACAGAAAGAGAAAAGAAGAATGAAATAGAAATACACAGGTGGACTGACAGCACCCACAAACTCATCCTAATCTGACTCAGCTCAAAATTTGAACTTGGTTCCACATTTGAGTCCAGCACACAAAACTGTCTGCAGCCTTACAGAAATTATGTCTGCTTTAAAACATAAGAACACTTACCTTCTTTTGTTCTGCTCTTGCCTCAGAGCCTCCTGATACTGCTAACTGTTTCTTAAGTTCTTCCAACTGTGAAGTTAAGGATGCAACCTTAGCTTTGTTTTGTAGTTTTAACTTGGAAAGTTTGGCATCAGCAGATTCTTTCTCCTCCTACAAACATCAAAGTCATGAAGTCATTAAATTAGCTACATGAACAACTACATCCTCCAACTCTTCCATTAAGAGAGAGAGACCTAAAGTCTAAAAACTAATCTCCTTCCCCTGAAAAGACACATTCTAATGTCACATGCAACAGGTCTGCATACATGAAACAACCTTCCTTTCATTATTTAAACTTTCTGCACACAGTTACTATTATAGCATAGAATCCAGAGCATTATGATGTTAGAAAACATCCTATTTTTCTGGTAGCAATACAAATTCAGGGCTTGATTATTTAACAAGAACAGTTAACTCATAATACTATAAAAGCATATTTGATTTTGTTTAAAGAGTAAACTTCTGTCCTGGGTTCAGCTACAGCAGTAATTTTTTTCTCCTTCTTAGTAGCTGGTGCAGGACAACTTCATTTACAATGAGTTTTAGAAAATTCAGTATTTTAACACTTGGCTGTTTGTGTCCACAGAAGGTGAGTCTCCTGCAAGAACAGACTCACCCTATGGCTGTTTAAAGAACAACAGAATAAAGAATAACAAACCCTCAAAGTCTTCAGGATATTAAATATAAACTCTTTCTAGTTTGATGCTCCTTAATGCCAATCAAAAGCACAAGGTAATATCTAGTAGCATTAATAGTAAGATCATTAGGAAGGGGGCCTACAAGGATGCTGGGGAGGGACTCTTCATTAGGGACTCCAGTGGTAGGACAAGGGGTAAGGGCTTTAAACTTAAACAAGGGAACTTTAGGTTAGATATAAGGAAGAAGTTCTTCACAGTGAGGGTGCTGAGGCACTGGAATAGGTTGCCCAAGGAAGTTGCGAATGCTCCAGCCCTGGAGGTGTTCAAGGCCAGGCTGGACAGAGCCTTGGGTGACATAGTTTAGTGTGTGGTGTCCCTGCTCACGGCAGGGGGGTTGGAACTAGATGATCTTAAGGTTCTTTCCAACCCTAACTATTCGATGATTCTATGATTATACAACAAAAAGACATATATAGTGGAAGGAGAAATAAAAGATTATCTACAGAAAATCAGTTTGAGGTGAGTTGGCATCTCACTAAATGCCCAGCAATGAGTTAGATGGTGGGTTTCCCCATATTTAGCTAAAATGACCAGACACCTCTAGCTCTTGGAAAGTCAGCCTGTCCCTTGCAATGCTTAAGTGTGTCTGCTCATGCAAGGAACACACATTGTAATGTAATACCAAATCCAGTTACAATTTTGGAACAGAAGACATACTGGCAAAAAGCAGTGATGTTCAGGAACCATAACAGCTCACTGTGACTAACTTGTCACAGTTGTGTTCCTACAGTTGTGCTCCTTGTATTCCTAGAGTTGTCATAACTGACTAAAAGCTTGTCTCTATGAAAACAGCTCATGATAAACAGGACCAAAGGGTTTTTTTAAACAGTCTTTTTTGGCAAGAGTACATGCAGGGTACCTTTAACTGAAGATCTTTATTCCGAAGCTCAGCATCCTTCTCCCTGACAAGCTCCTTTAGCTGTGTTACCAGCTGTTCAGTACTTGTCAGCTGGTCAGTCAAATCTGTCACCGACATGCTGCTTGCATCTTGTGAGCCTGCAGCCTGCAGACATCAAGTACAGTTTGAACAAACAAAATGGTGCAGACAAGACTGCTCCTGCAAGAAGTCCGCAGCTGGTGTTGCTTTGGGGGGTTTTAAACATTCAGTAGATGTTATTAAAGTGCAGCACTAAAACTTACATGGACTATGTAAGTACCTATACCACGTTTAGCAAGTTTGATAAACATGAGATTATAAATCTTAGAAACTGGTTTAGGAATATTAGTTTGAAATACAGCAAAACCATCAAAGCACCTCAGGTATCTAAAACTGGATTTCCTTACTGGATTTGCACTGTAACAAACAATAGTGTTGCTGAACTCAGCAGCAATAAAAATATTGGTACTGGACATGCTATACCCCAAAAAATAACTTGGGATAAATCTTATGTAATTCCTACAGATGTTTTCTTAAAGCAAGATAAGCATGGTGAAGAGGAATAGAGCAGCTGTGTTACATGCAAGAAATTAAATACCAAGTAGCAAGCAAGAACCCAACCTGACTTTTAGAGCCCTAAAACTGAGTCATGGTAAAACTGGTTAAGCAACGTACTTGTGAAAGAGCAAATACACACCACTAGTATATCAACAAGTAAAGATTCTCTATGACATTCTTAAGAAAATATTATTCTAGTAGTAATTCAATACTTACTACTGTTTTGGAAGGAGAATCATCTCCACTACCCCATTTCCACATAGTTTCACGATGGCTATGGAAACATAAATGAAATAACACCACAGTAAGTATCAGTGACTCTCAGATAACTGTCATTAACTTTTACTTCTCTCTGCATATTTCACTGCAAAATGCTTGAAACTGATTTGTTTAATTCTGACCACCTCTGATCCCCACCACATTAGTACTTGTTGAGAAATGATGAAAGTATGTATGAAATATGCTAGCCAGTGAAGTGCCAATACTATCAAAAATAATCCAAAGAAGTCTTTAAAGCGTAAATACCATAAAGTATTACTCAGCATATTGCTTCTCCCACATATTAATAAAGATACAAACTACATATAGTTTGCTAGTATTTAACCTGACCTTACACACTGCCAGCCACTGCAATATAACAGGGGTTATATCAATGCATATTTCTATAAAATCATACATAAAGACTAAAAGCACTGAAGAACAAAGTGCTTTAAATGCCGTGTGACTGCTGCATATCTGAAACCTTTGATGTCACTGATCAGATATAAAAGGTCTCCATCTGAACCCCCAAGTGTTCCTTGCTTCTTTTGCTCCCAATCAAGTACCACAAACTTCTAAATGGCACCCAAGTACCAGACATATGTCTACATAATTGCAGTTTCTGACTATGGAAAGTGGCAGCTTTCTAATAAACACAAGTATAGGCTGCGTTTATTAATCCTGAAGATCAAGTAGGTACAAGGCAGCTCAAAGGTTTAGATCTTTACTGAATGAAAGTGACCAACTTAGTTGAGAAAAACAGGAAAAAGTCTATACAATATCCAATGCAGTAAATTCCACTTGTGTCTTGGAGGTATAATTTTAAGAACAGACTGAGGTATCTTGCTTAACTGAGGTATCTTGAGGTATCTTCTGGGTAATATTCCAAATAGCAGGATGAAGATGTTCAGTCATTTTCACTCTCAACTAGCAACATCCAGAGGCAAACACTATCTCCCTTCTAATCTGCACTACAGACTTTTGAAATATGCTCACGCAGACCAGTCATGGATTTGGAAAGCAGTTTATAACAAACACTAACACATAGCTACAAACATTAACACATAGCTTATCTTAGAGTAGTGAATTTGGAAAGCAGTTTACAAAACACATTAGCACATAGCTTATCCAATAATTTATGCAGAATGATAGCAGAGGCTGCCTTTAAAGCTGTTTATCATTTCAAAGCTAAAAGCAGGAATCACAGCCTGCAATCTATGGCCTTCGTTATCTACAAGGCCAAACTGGATTCTGCTAACAATCTTGTCTAACATTAAAATCAACAAACAAGCCACAGGCTTGGGGGGGGGGGGGGGAAATTACAGAACTTGCAAGTAAAATCCTCCCCTCATAACTACTCCAAAGCTGTAACATCTAATTTGTTCTTAGTGAAAAGCTCATTTCCAGATACATAAAAGAGTTACCCAGGTAAAAAAAGGACAAAATGACTCACTAGATGTAAAGTGGTGGTGAATTTGTATTTAATTTATGACTATTTTAGCTCCTTTCCAGCTCTGGTGCAATCACTTTTGCTCACTTCTTGTGCTACCTGAATACCTGAACTGCTGCTTTCTGATGTATGTACAACCTGAACGCTGGACCACTCAACTTGATCCCTTCTCCTTGCAGTACATGTAAACACAATTCAGTTAAGTTTTCCATTACCATTCCCCTTCCTTTGGCAGCCTATGTCCCAGACACAGCACTATCAGATATCAAGCATAAAAAAGCAGGAAGTCCAAATTATTTGTGGCTACCCTCTCCAAGGTTTCACAGTGACAGATAATTCGTATTTCCTCTCTAAGTCCAAACTGCTTCCCCTTACTTCCAAGGCTTGACATTGTTCATCACTGCTAACACCTCATCTTGCTCTCCATCCTGCACATTCTACTGTGCTGATAACCATTCTTTGCCATCCACTGCACAGTCACTTCTGTTAATCTCTTCTTTGCTGAAGGACAACAGGCAGGATAGTTGAATCTTTCACAAAACCCAAGAGATACAAGAGGCCCACTTAAGTTTTATGAAACAAGTTTGTTCTGATACTCAAAGTACAACTGAGGTTTTGGTTCTTATCACAACGGGATGTTACCAAAAAGAAAAGCCCCACTGGCAGCTTTGCTTTCAGACTGTCCATTCTGTTGTCCCAGCAGTAGCTGCAGCCAAATCCAGCTAATAAAACTCCTAAGCATGCATTATTCATCTGGGTAGTTTCCAGCCTCCTTACTCCCCTGAGTCAGATGTCACAGGACCCAGCACAAGGGGCACCAAGGAGCACACAACAGCAGAGAGGAGAGATTTCAGCAACAGCTCACACTGAAGGGGTCACAGAAGTCCCACAGCTGGAGGGTGACCAATGTACATGGTGAAATAATGAACTGTGTTCTTACAGATACAAACTGGGATGACTACCCAGGCAGAGAAGCAGTCTGCTGGTGCCACAGAACTCCTCGTGTTTCTCTAGCTTGCCTCACATCCATTCCAAAACCATTCTGAGATTAAAAAATGGCTTCAAAACGCACTCATCTGAGTTTTCAATATGAAGCTATTAAGGCAGGAACTTTTCCCCTTCTCTTGCAGAAACACAGACTATGGAATAAAACACTGAGGCACTCCATTCCTTACTACCACGAAAGGTAATGGTAGTCCCCTTTCTCCTTTGTGCCACACATCTACAGCAAAAAAACACAGAATAGCAGAATTGTGTAAAAACTTTGGTGTTTTATTATTTTAAATCAATTTCCTACAACAATTTTGTGCTTTAAGCACACCCACTGACAGAACAGCATTTGAATATTATTTTCTTCCTGTATCTGCACTTTTTATTTTATCCATATTTGATGGCTTGCCAAGATGTTGGTTCTTCTACTGAATAAGCTAAACTTGTTTTCAAATGGCCTGTGCCACCTATGACTTTAAGCTCCGAGACAAAAACTGCACTGACACATGACATACAACAAAGAAGCACAAACACTGAAGTCACGTTAACGGAATCAGAGTGGTTTGGGTTGGAAAGGGCCTTAAAGCTCACCTACTTCCAACCCCCTGCCCTGTGTCCAGCCTGGCCTTGAACACTGCCAGGGATGGGGC